AAACTACGGAGTAATATTACTCAATCTTAAAGGTCACGAGGGTCTTTGGTAGATGTTATCTGATAGAATGGCCGTAACTGCTTGTCAGATAGATATGATATGCTCACTCCCCTTCTCTTGTCTATCATCGATAGGCCATCTGCGTGCCATGCAAGTACAATCGAAATCAATCAACTATGCTCGAACACATATCTGACACTGCTTGTTGATCTTTGGACATAGCACAGAGTCCGACTCGAGAACGAACAGCTGGAGGCTATCTAGTATCTAGCCATCTAGCTACATTGATAGTTTGACCGATTGATAGCTATCCAAATTGTCAACGACCATTAAGATATGGTTCAACCAATTTGTTGGCAAATAAACTTAAAATGAACCAATAACATTCTGGCAATATTCTGGAAAGATCCCAATTGGTGGTGGAGTGCCTCGAGTAGATCCATTCCCGAGCCTTCCCCTGATTAACACGACCCTGTAAACAAGGGCAAGGGTTAAACACAGGCCTCTACTTTCTGGTTCGGGTCAAATTCCAGTGCATCAACACTGTAAGACACCGTATGTTAAGATTCCCCAGTAAATTATTCTTTGCATGTCACGATAGGATAGGGCAAAAGAAGAAAAAGATAGGGAAAACAGGTGGTTTGGGCTGTCACTGTTGGTTTCTGATATTCTAGTTTCTGATCTTTGCTTTCCTTTCCTTTCCCTCCTGCTCGTCTTCGTCGTCGTCGTACTAAGAACTTCTTATAAAAAAAAAGAACCACCGTAACAATTTGATCAATGTTTTGAGGACTTCTTTTTAAAGTTCCGTCGTTCTTCCCCCTCCTTTCCCTTCCCTTCCCCTCCCACTCCCACTCTCACTCTCACTCTCAGATCCAGATCCGATCTAATCGGTGTGTAAAGAAAATCACCATAGAAAAATTCAACGAGCTAATCAACGTCATAATCCCTAGGTAGTTTTTGATTTTCTCTTCTTCATGATACCCCAATTTTCTTTCGAGGCGCACAAAACTCAATTCATTTCCTAAAATATCAGAAAGGTTGAAGCACCGCATCAACATCCACAAACGCTGGACGAAGAAGAGAGCTTCGACCACTGCATTTCTATCATCCCGGTGTTTGGTTTCGTGAACAGTCGATAATGGCTTCGACACCCATCAATCCAAGGACCTTCGCTGCGAACACAAAACCTGGTTTGAAAGCTAGTCCTTCTCCATTTCCACGAACCCCGCGACCCTCGAATAAGAACAGGAATCCCTACGAGTTAGGATTATCGTTGAAGAAAATAATTGGAACTACAGTATCCTCTCCACCATGTTTCGACTGTCTCTCTACATCTCGGATATTTGCATACACAGCTGGGGCTGCGGTGGTGGTGGTTGATATTGATGATGAGGGGAAACACTCCCAACGTTTTTTCCGGGCTTCTCCAACAGCAGTCGCCGCCAATACAAGTAATATAGCTTTAGGTGGACCTTCAACCCCTGCCAACATTGCCAATGATGGCAGAAACGGAAAAGGCTTTCGAGATGCTGCAATCCCATATGCACCATCTACTGCACACACGAGTTTAGAATCAGGTGACTCTTCGTCGAAGACATGGTCAAGCAGGGAGAGGATCAAAGCGGCTACATGTGTGTCTATTAGTTCGGATGGTCGCTTTTTGGCTGTGGGCGAGGTAAGCAGGTTTGTACGAATATTTGTGTATTGACTGATAAGGATACAGACAGGGTACGCCCCTAGAGTATTAATATTCTCTTTGCAAGAGAGTTCTTCAGATACGCCGCTCGCCATTCTTACCGAGCATACATATGGCGTCGCTGCCATATCATTCAGTCCTGACGGCAAATATCTTGCCAGCTTGGGTAATGTTAATGATGGATTTCTTCACGTTTGGTCCATAAATCCAAAGAATGGAACAGCAAAGCTACATTCGAGCAACAAATGTACTAGTTTCATCAAGCAAATGTTGTGGCTGGGAGGGAACGTAGTTACTGTGGGAACTCGTCATATAAAAGTATGGAGAGTCGACGATGGTCGATGTCCCTCACCAAAACAAAAATTTGCACTTGACGGCACACCATTACCACTACCAGTACAACCAGCGCTCAAAACTCTTACTGGTCGGAACTGTTTGCTTGGACCATTAGTAGATGCGACTTTCACATGCGTGGCTTCATTGTCTGACCACAGGGCTATTGTTTGCTCGGAAAAGGGAGACGTTTGTCTTCTAGACAGCACTGAAGGCCAAAAACTGATCAAAGTTTTGACCACCGGATTTCCCGTCACATGTATAGCTATTGAGATGGAAACGCGGCAGGTAAGGATAGGAGGTCGCAATGGTAAAGTCAAAACGGTATCCTTGGACACACTTCTAGCTCCATCTACTCCTCCATTATCACCTCTCCCGTCAGATGAATCCAATGACGAGTTTGACCCTGGCCATTTGTGTGCTATGGGCTATGCTGGAGGGAATTTCGTGACGATTGATTCTAGACATACGATTGAGATATGGGGAAAAGACGACGAGGATGCTGACCATGGGTTCCAAAACACACTTCAACCCGCTCATGGTGACGCAGTGATGGGTGTCCAACTCTTACCCGAAATCAATCATATGGGAGCAGCATTCCTTACCTGGTCGGTCAATGGCAGCCTTGCCTTTTGGGACTTGCATGGCAACAGCAAAGGATCGATTACAGTCGGCATAGATCAAGTGCCTACAGAAGAAGAAGCTGCCAACTCATGTCAAGTCGTGAGAATATCAAAGGATGCTTTGTTTCTGGTTTCTGGAGATAAGTACGGAGTTTTGAAAATATTAGATCCATCCACGGGTGCATGTACTTTTGAGACACGTGCTCATTCTACCGAGATCCAAGATATCACCATTTATGAGGATGATACATCGACGATGATAGCTTCATGTAGTCGAGATCGAACCATCCAATTGTTCCGTCGCGTCTCAAACAAATGGGAACTAGTACAAACTCTAGACGAACATACTGCTGGTGTATGCGGTTTGTTCTTCGCCGAGAATGGCGAGAAACTCATATCTTGTGGTATGGATAGGACAATTCACATCCGGCAACTTGTGAAGAAAGAAGTAGCAGAAGGAAATGCGCTGGCTGCTGTCCCAGTCCGTATTATCACCTTGAAAGCTGCGCCCGTCTCGATGACGCCCTGTCTCGGTCCTCAAGTAGGTAATATTGTGGTGTCTCTATTGGATCGCACTGTAGCTACATATGAAATAGCTACTGGACGTCTTGTCAATTCATTTCGAGCAACAGACTATGATGGAGCAGACGCTGTCGCTCTGGACTCCCTTGCGATGGGTACACCTAGTGTACTTTCTGGCAAGCCTAGTACAATTCTTGCTGGTGTCTCGACTACTGATAAGTCTGTTCGTATCTATGACTGGAGTACTGGATCTTTTCTAGACCGAGAATGGGGACACACTACTTCCGTATCAGGCGTAGCACTTCTCGAGAACATCGATTCGTCGTCTAGAGTTTTGATAAGCACAGGGCTGGATGGCACAATCATGATGTGGGATATTGCTTCCAATACCATCGCCTACTCACAGAATCAACCCGAGTCAAACGACGGTACCCAAGATGAGACACCACCAAAGGATCCAGCGACCTCGCGTCAGCCATTGAGAAGGGTATTATCGAAAGCCGAGCTTGCTGAGTTCCAGCGAGCATCACCAACAGCTACTCCTCCTGGATCGTCTTCGCCACCTAGAGTAATCAAACGCAAGACCTCGAAATACGGCTTGACGAATCAGAATCCCACCTTATCAATTCCATCTGTACAAGCTGTGCCATCGAAACATTTTGCATCCGCATCAGACGACACAGGACGTAGATCTTATCCAAGGAACAGATCTCGGAGTCCAAACAGTCCTCAAGCAAGAGAGGTCAGACGTCCCTCGACGGCGTCGGTAGACTTACGGGGCCGTGGCAAAAGTTCAAGCAGTGGCATGACCGAATCCGGATCACTTAACATGGCGACAGACCAAGCCTGTCGAACACTTAGAGCGTACCGAAGAAAGCTCTTATCTACCGAATCTATAGATGAAGATTGTCTAAAGGAGCTAGACCAGGAGTTACGCCTGACCTCGGTAGCGCTAGGGGACAGAAGCCAAAAGTCGAGAACCATTAGTGAAACAGTTTTAGCAGAAATACTTGACCAATATTCCGACAGACTGGTTTCCATGTTTGACGAGAAGTTGAGATTAAGTCAATTAGGTCCAAGCAGATTGGTCGAATCTCCTACGGAGATGGTCGAACGTCCAAGAACGGCTGATAGATCCAGTGAAGATGGAGAGTTTCTTGATTGCCATTGATTGTGTATTTCGTTTGTTCTACTGCATCGATTTTGAAGGCGTTTGGAATACCTTACTCTTTTTGGAAGTGTTGCAGGCGTTTGAAAGGAAATTCTCTTTGCATTGAGGTCATCGTTTGCAGGGCACAAGGTTCTATTCTACATTAGGGCGTCTGCATAAGCTTAGGGTGGGATGAATGTTAAGCTGCGACTTGTTCTATGACGCATATAGCTGAGGAGTTTTCAAAAAGAAGGGAGAGTATAGGCATGGGAATTCGGGAGGAATGGGGAAATGGCCTGGTTGGAGTAATCAACTTCGCGAGAAACATTATATCAAGGACTGCGCGTCAGCCGTTTTATCCATCATGAAGTTTTCACTGAGATCTAATTATCATACTGTGTACTGTAAGCTTGACCGATTACCAAATCCATCAATCAAGTGCGACACTAACGGATAGCCTCATGTAATTATGCAAATAACCGGAGTTCACCAAACACCTGCAGACTTCAAACTCTAGGAGAGGCTGCAGATGGATGATCAATCAATCAGGAATATCCATCAGCCTTGTGTACTTTCACGTGATTTGATTGATTCGGACCCACCGCTTACCTAGTATAATTCCCAGTCGCGTTTACATGTGCAGCCAGCCTTCCGCGAAATTATTCTCAGAAATTCATCTTCAAGAATAAGTGATTTTGTGCCAATCACCATCGATTTTATTCCACCTTGTAATATTTGAAAATAAGATTAATATTTATATTCGATCAAGTATTTTACGTATTTGATACCAATAATTACCACCAATATCTGACTGCATCTATATCGCGAATATGGTAAACCTCAGCGATGTTAAGGGAAACTCCCGCGACAATCGAACTTCTACACATACACATATCAAAGGTCTTGGACTTCGAAATGATGGGTCTGCTGAGAAACAGGCCGGTGGATTTGTTGGCCAAACTTCAGCTCGAGAGGTGTGTTGTATGCATGATGGATAATAGGACTTTAACTAATATATTCTGGTTGCAGGCTTGTGGTGTGGTCGTCGACTTAATTCGTTCCAAAAAAATGGCTGGCCGAGCTATTTTACTTGCAGGAGGACCTGGAACAGGAAAGACAGCTCTCGCCCTAGCTATCAGTCAAGAACTTGGAACAAAAGTACCATTCTGCCCCATCGTCGCAAGCGAAGTATACTCGACGGAAGTCAAGAAAACAGAGGCGCTCATGGAAAACTTCCGACGAGCCATTGGTCTGAAAGTTCGCGAAACGAAGGAGGTTTACGAGGGCGAAGTTACAGAATTAACACCAGAGGAAGCTGAGAATCCATTGGGAAGCTATGGAAAGACTATCAGCACATTGTTGATTGGATTGAAGAGCGCCAAGGGCCAAAAGAAGTTAAGATTAGATCCAAGCATTTACGAAGCAATACAGAAAGAGAAGGTTACAGTTGGAGATGTCATTTATATCGAAGCGAATACTGGAGCCTGTAAACGTGTTGGCAGATCGGATGCGTATGCGACGGAATTCGACCTGGAGGCGGAGGAGTATGTGCCAATACCAAAGGGAGAAGTTAACAAGAAGAAGGAGATTGTACAGGATGTTACTTTACATGATCTTGATATCGCAAACTCCAGACCTCAAGGTGGACAAGACATAATGAGTATGATGGGCCAGTTGATGAAACCAAAAATGACAGAAATTACGGAGAAATTAAGAGCGGAGATTAATAAAGTGGTCAACAAATACATTGATCAAGGAGTGGCAGAACTTGTTCCAGGCGTGCTTTTTATTGATGAGGTATGTGTCAAAGCCTTCAATACGCCTTCCGGTTCTTAATCATTAACAAATTATAGGTTCACATGCTCGATCTCGAATGCTTCACATATCTGAATCGTGCTCTCGAATCAACGATTTCTCCAATCGTAATTCTCGCTTCCAACCGTGGCATGTGTACCATTCGTGGTAGTGAAGATTTGATCTCGGCACATGGAATTCCTTCTGATCTTTTGGCTCGTCTTTTAATCATTCCTACAAATGCTTACGAGGCGGATGAAATCAGGAGAATTCTTCGTATTCGAGTTACAGTTGAAGGCTTAGCCATAACTGAAGCTGCATTAGACAAACTCACAGAACATGGTTCAAGAATTAGTTTGAGATATGCATTGCAGCTTCTAACACCATCTAGTATTTTAGCGCGAGTAAGCGGACGCAATCAAATTGATGTCCAGGATGTAGGGGAGTGCGAAGATTTATTCATTGATGCACGGAGGAGTGCAGCTATTATGAACGGTGAAGCTGGTAATGGGTTCATTTCATAAACAACATCCGCTGCGCCTGATGCAGTTCATCGACTGGTGTGAGCAGTTGATTGGCGTGGTCACATCATTAGTGCATTTGCGGGAGTAGTTCACTGGTGTAACTATCAGTGTAACCTGAGAACAGGGGTTTATCTAGAGCTCGTCGCTTGCTTTTGGCGTCTAAAGGGGGTGTCCAAGGTTTCATGGTTCTGTTTGCGGATATTATGTAGTATCTCCAAAAAAAAATCTAATTGGGATTACATTCCTCACACCTCTCCAAAATTGGGTAAAAAAAAGCATTCCAATTAGATCTTCTTTAGTAAGCATGAAATTATTCTACCCGTTACCAAGCATTTTTCTTAATTTTGATTTTCTATTTCTTGGGATTTACTGGGAGTGAACATTGGTAACGGAGCTCACTAAAGACAAAGGAAAACGCATGCGAAACTGCAGCTGTGCAGTCTTCCCGAGACAACAAAGACACCAACACTTTGCCATAATGCCTAGAATGCCTAGAATGGACAGAATGTCACAACTAGAAGTTGATTATGGATGAATTGAGTTATGATAGAATTGTCCTTTCCTTTATCCAGTCGCAATGCATACAAAGCATTTCGTCACTATCAAGAAGGGCATTCTACCCTTCTATTCTTTCCTCTTTATTTTCCTTTCTATCTATTATACTCTGAAGTTCCCACTTGATATCAACTTCAAAAACTTGAACTTTTTTCTCATCTCGTTTGAAATCAAAAATCATGTCAATTATGGCAGAAGTACGCAGAGCCAACGGCAATGTTGATAAAGACGCTCCTCGATCTCCTGTTAGTATCTCCACAGATTCTAGTAGGAGGAATTCGTTGAGACCTATTCTCCCAGAGAAACATTCAGAGCCTCCAACCCCCCGTTTCACCTCCACCTTCCGACCGTTTGTCAAGAAAACGAGCAGCATCACTCGATACTGAAAGTGCGAGTGCGAGCCAACCACGAATCGGAGATCTTGCATTGAATAGTGCGAGCACAAGCAATAGCATCGGAGGGCCCTCCCCTATTTCTGATACGCCAGTCACAGAACAAGTGTGTCTTTGTCAACCAGACCCAAAGATACCACGACCTCGAAACGGTGCGTGACCTAAAACTTTTCTTTGACAATGATGATTGACAATAATCGTGTGATTGGTTATTGAGAATGGCTGCAAGAGACCCTATGTTCATCCTAGCCTTTGTTTATTGGGCTGGGATTCTTTGTCACCACTGCAGAATCGAGAAGCTAACAATTTCCCTTTGTAGCATTCATCCTTTACCGTCAACATTATCAGGCACAAGTCGTCGCCCAGCATCCCGGTCTTGCAAATCCTGAAATATCAAAGATTATTGGAGAACAGTGGCGCGAGCAGGCACCCAATGTAAAAGAGGAATGGAAAAGACTCGCTGAAGTAAATAACATAGTAGTAGCCCGTGATCATATAGACCATGCTGATTTTGTGGTACCTAGGAAGAAAAACAACGTCATCAACGACAATATCCTAATTATCGTTACCAGCCGCGCAGAGCAGGAAAAACGGTCGGTAATCGTCCACTAACTTCAACATCGGACGATCCCATTCGGTGTCCGAGATGTAACGGACGCTACATCTCCACGCCAAGTACACCTTTGACACCCTTCACGCCGGCCTTTGGAGCTGCCGTTCCTCGTAACGATAGACTTCTTCCGCCATTCAGCTCAAACAATCAGGCTCAGAAGTCCCAACAGTCTCAGTATCAACCCCAGCTCGGCGAGCTTGAGAGACCCCGCTATCTAGCTCAAATGCCCGGCAGCGGTAGAGTAGATTCTCCACGTATAGGTCCACCTCCCCAACAAATGGTTAGGCGACACCCGTACCCTCAACCCCTCCATACCCATCATGAACAGGATCAAGATATCGAGATGCAATCTGCCTCCCCAGATTTCAAGCGTCGACGTTTCACCAATGATCCGAGGGTCTATCCACAACCATCTCCGATGGTTTATTCAGCCCCTCAACAAGGGTTTGCCCGCAACCAACAAATCCCAATGTCGGCGGGTCCCTTCCGGAATCCTCCTCAACCTCTTCCGGGCTCAAGGTCGGGCGCAATGGGTCCGCCTCAGTCGGCTCCAATGCGTAGCACACATATGCAACAGAGCATGACACCCACCTACCGCAATCGGACTCCCACATTCGACGAATCTCTCCGTTTGCCTCCTCTCCAAACCCAACTACCAACTACCGCCACTACATCTGCTCATCGTCCTACGGACCGCGACATCCGTAGCGAAAGTAGAGAGTCCCAAGCTCGTAGTGTTGAGGCCATGGTCATGACAATCCCCTTTTGGAACAAGTTAAACATCCTTTCGAAGATATCGCCGCCGTTAGCGGCACCAGGTCCTACAAGTCCTGCACAGGAAATTAGAGGTGCGGTGATTGCGGTTGAGGGCATGGAAAAGGGATTGATTATAGAAGTGGGAGATTTCATCCGTGGACATCTGGAAAAAGATGCCAATTGTATGGTTCGGACTTGGATGACGGGATCCGATGCTCATCAAGAATCTGGGGATACAGCCGTGAGTGAAGATGCGGATACTGAGATGCGGGACGTCTCGGGTGTGCGAGTGACGAGAGAGAAAGGAAAGGAGAGATTAAAAGGAAAAGAGGAGAACAAACATGAGATGGTGATGGATATGAAAGACCTCCAGGAAAAAGAAGAGTCTGCTGATCCTTTCGTCGAATATCTCTCGACGATTTGTCAATGGCATCGGAATTCATTACAGATTACAAAGTTCATCACGACGGTCCCTCCTTCTTCACCTCGTAGAGATACCTCTAATGCTTCTTCGACTCCTCAATCGTCGGAAGTGTCGCAGTCGTCTACTCCGCATAAACGAACACCGATTGCTCTTATACCACACGGATATTCTCTCACGTTGTCAGATGCGTATTCGTTGAAATTACCAATAAATGATAGTTATGCCCCTATCGATCATTGGCAGTGGATGGCTACGCTCTGGAGAGGAATTGTAGGTGCAGATCTCACGGTGTTTGTGAAGGGGGTAGGGAGGGAAGAGATGGAACGGTCTGGAGGAGTGGAGTGGTTGGTTGGAAGAGGCATTGTGGTCAGAGTGTTGGTTTCAGAGAAGATGGGAAGAGAAGGGAGTTTACCGGGGGATAGAGAAGGTTTGAGGAAAGGCAGTACGAGTACGGTGGGCAGTGGAGGTGGAGAAAGAGATAAAGAAGGAAGTGGAGGAAAGGAAAAGGAAAAGGAGAAGGAGAAAATTAAAGGCAAGATGGATGAAAAGACACGTCGGCGTTTAGGATTCGAAGTCGGCGAGTGGGTGAGAGGAATTGACGGGGGATGGGGTCGGGGTTGATGCTTCTGATCTTGTGTATCGGGGAAGTTTATACTCATTGATTCATAAAAAGAGATGTTTGGAAGTAAGTGAGCGAGTGGATAGGTTAGGTGTCGTCAGTGTGTACAATCAATTCTTCTCTTTGCATAATTTCTTTACTCTTTCCCATCCATCGGTGTCGAAAACTGTGTGGGCATTTAGTTTTTTCTTCTTCCTTTTTATTACTTTACTTCTATTGTATGTTCTTTTCTTCCATTTAAAATTTGGGGCGTGGGTTGAAAGATGGATGGATGTTGGGTAATCATGTAACTAGTATTGCTTCTTTGTATCTGTGGATTGAAGGGTTAGGATTAGATAGATGTCAATAGTTGACTGGAATGAAGAACGCGATTGTTGATTTGATTTCTTAGATCTTGATTGTGTTGTGAAGTTTAAGAAAGTTCTTTGTTGTATTGTTATGTGTTGGGGGCTGTGGACTTTATTGTGATGAGGATACTTGGATGCTCCCTATTTGACTTCTTTTGTGTTTGATCTGTCCTCCTTACATACCTTGCTTCCTCAACTTTAGATCTCTTCTCGAAAGCGGCAGCTGCGAGAATGTCCTTTTGTAACTACTAATTACCTACTAGATCGATGTTACATAGGTTCTACATTCTTTGCTTGGCGATATTATCCCATCGAAAATCCCAACCTTGTTGCTCCTCCTCCATTCTGATAATGTATTCAAGTGATCAGTCACTTCCCTCCATATAAAATCTTCTCTGTCAAAATGAAATCATTTCCAGCTCATGACGTACTATATCCGTGTGAGTTGCGTAGTAGCAACTTCCATAATCAAAGCAAATCTGGAGGAAAGATGCATCATAGTCTGCGTGGCCCAACCTCAACCCCTTTTCATTCTTCTAATCTTCCATAAGACTCGTTCATAAAATAATTTCACTGCATTGCTTATACAGTCATTTTGGTATATATCCTTAGATAAAGTCTGCATTTCAAGTCGACGTGGTACTCAAATTCTAAATCTACATCTGTATCAATTGAATCATTCCTCATTCCTCATTTCCCTCACAAACATGGCGTCTTCCTCCGTCCAAGATTCCTGGCTCAATTCGAACATTACCACTCCAACCCCAACTGCCTTCGACGATCACGAGATCCCACGTTCCATCTCTCCTCTCTCATTGTCTCATAACTTCTATCCTCCAGCTGCACCGCAAAGATCTCCTCCATATCCAAGCCCTAAGTTAGCTCCGGATCTCAAGAGATCAAGATCTAAAGACAGCAAGTACAGCAAAAAAGAAATGGTATATCGAGCCATCGATGACAAGATTGACTTGGTCAGATTCTTGCAGGCGTATGAGAGTATACTTGCTGCTTTTGGTGTGAAGACCAGAGAAGTGAACGACGAAAGAGAGAAAGAGAAGCTGGACGTGGCGGAACGGATTGTTTATAGATTATTTTGTGAGTGTTCGCATCGACATAAAATAGGCTGGAGACGGGGAGATATAGTAAAAATGCTAATTTCCTGCTCTTGGTAGGGAATGATTTAAAATATGCGGGAAGTAGAGGAAGTGAAAGTGTGCCACTAACGCATGTCAAGGCGAAAAATCAGGTAGTGGATACGGGTACAAGTGCCTCGCGGCTACTGAGAGTTACGCCATCGGAAGTAGATGCTATAAATGCAATTGTGGATGAAGCATACGAAGGTCTTCGTATGGCCACTGGACCGGTGATTGAAAATATACTTAACAAGGGTAAAGTTACTTCAACTATCACAGAGGTGAGAGAAGTGGGCGACGCGGCGGATGAAATTGATCCATTGGTAAATGCAAATGCAAAATCTATGAATAGAATTGTCGAGGATGATCTTGGTGTCGCTGCAGGACCACAAACTAACATCAGTGCCGAAAAGAGCCAGATCACCTCTGAGGTTACAGAAGTAGTTGAGGCACCTATTGAGATTGATTTACCACTGGTGGGATTCCTCAAAGATGGAAGTTTGGATGAAGAGCCTACTGTTTTCGCAAACCATGTAGCCAATATCATCGATGAAAAGAATTCGATCTTCTCTACAATTACAGAAGTCGCAGAAGCACCAAGAAGTTTTCGCCTAGCTATAAGGTCTAAGTCGACTAGTGATCTTACGGATCCTCCTACAGTTATTTCAATCAAGTCGGAAGCCGATATATCTATAGAAACCCTTTACGAACAATACATGAAAAGTCCAGAGATCCTACTCCTCGGACGATGGGGTCGCGAGAGATACAATGAATGGAAACGGGAAATTGCTAAAGCTCAAAATGAAATCGCAAAGGAAGAAATTTTTCGTCTGATGGAATTGAAACAACAACTCTTGCCGCTCGAATCGGGAAAACAGCCTTACACCTACGGCTTCACAACATTCACTCAAAACCATATAGATTCTTCAGCTCTTCAGCTCTGGAGCTTCAATCCAGTTGAAAGGACCGAAGAGCTTCTGGGTGTCAAGTTGCTGTGGAGATATGAAGCATTCATTCTCAAGAGCATCACTGTGGAACCGCTAAGCCTTGATGATTTAGCTGCGGATGAGACTAAAGGTCGCCGGGCACTGGAGAACGCATATAAATTCCTCGGATTTTGGGACTGGTCGGCTCGATCTCCTTGCAAGGAAGGGGCGAAAGCAAAACCTATGCATCAAATTTGCTTGCAATGGCTTGATCCTAATAATGTGTTCCGCAAAGCTCATTTTCAAAAGAGATCAGTTTCTAATACGTCGGAAAAGATTAAAAGAAATCGTGAGGGTAGTGGCAGCAAGGATGTCAGAAGTTGGAGGGAGAAACGCACGGTTAGTGGTGCGAATTATATTGGGGGAAAGAAAAGGTGTGTGAGTGGGAGTTGGTATGGAGGTAAGAAAAGAAAGATTACTGGGAATAGTGATATTGAGAGGAAGTATGGGATGAAAGAGAATTTGAGTCAAGGACGACGGATAGCTGGAAAAAAGACGGCGATAGAGATCTGGGATGCTAGAGAGCATTGTTGAAGTGAAAAGAAGATAATGGATTTGCGTGTTATTCATGGTAATGAATGGGACACAGAGAAAGGTGTTGTTGGAAACAAATTGGATTACTGGTAAGGAAGTTATTACCACTGTCACTATAGATAATATCAAAGTATTGTAGAATTGAAAGGATATGGGATGTCGTTGACGTTACCAAGCTTTTGTTACAACTGTGTTCAACCTTTCGACTTTAAGATTATATTTCTTACTGGTTTTTATCGAACAATTCATAGACCCACAAGATATTTAATTATATATTATTAGCTCGAATCTAAAAGAGCAAAAGATGAGCCAAAAATTCTGTTCTTAAGTAATCAAGATTGAAGAACTAATAAGATATCGTTATAACAATGAGTAGAAATCAAATCTACAACATAGAATATTTAATAAAGAAGCCAACAGTCCCCACACGTAACGAATTATCCCGAAGGACTATCAAGAACCTGGAACATGAATCGAGCCGCGCCAAGTTTCCGTCGAGATGGCTTGTTAGACCACTAGGTACGCCATCGAAGTGCACAACCATGTTAGCATGATTGGTCGAGTAAGTGATATTGAAACAGATTATATACATCCTCTTTGTATGAAATATTGGATAGAACGGGTCATATGGAGACCGACCAGTATTGACCCGCCAGACCGTTTGCTTACACCCGGCATATTATATGCTGCCTGTACTCCGGCTTCTTCAAAACAATCAAATATTGAGATCTAGCTAGGTATCCTAAAAGAATATCATCGACACTACTTAACAGTTACTACTCGCAACCACGTGGCGCAAGGAGATCGGGGTACGAAGATTCCTCTCATCTTTTTTTCTTCTTCTTTCAGTTGACAAGAGAATGACTATCGCGCATCAGATAAGAAAAAAGACGAGTTCGTGTTGCACAGTGCCATACTATCACGCTTCCTAGATTGGAGATTGAAAGATCCATCATTCTAACAGACTGGAAGTTGAGCCACCTAGCCATCGGACGACGATTTGGTACCTGTGATTAGATTTTGCCCAGAAGCTGGATTTACAGAGCTGCTGGCTCTTAAGAGGAGAAGAGGATACGACTGATATTGGAGGCCAGCTGACAGCTGAATCCCTTTCATTCAGAAATAACGATCTTATTAGGTTAATATATTGCAGTTTATTAGAAACACTACAAGCTTCTGCGCGTCGAAAAGGAGCATTAATTTGCCGGTATAGACCAAAGCTCAAATATTGGGTTCTACATCGCATGCTATCCTCCCAAGAGAAAAGGGCTCGTATATGAAAATCGACGTGAGCTGCAGCACTGGGGTTCTATGGTCCTCGCTAGAGGGCAAATTACTGATAATCCTCGAGACGCAGAGGACATACTGCTCTAAGGATTTCTTGGTCAATCTACAAATAACGATATTCTGAACAAATAATCTCTAAATTGATAGAGACGTTACAGGACGATTATCTTCTCCATGAAACAACGTGGCACCAGCGCTTGCACTTATTTGGTACCTAAAGGCACAAACTTCGATACAAGTCCCCAATATACTTAGAGCTATCACATGGCGAAAATTGCTTGTGGAAAGAGGTGCAGCCAGATTTGGTCCAGTTAAAGAAATGGGTTAAAGTAGGTCATTTGGAGAGTTTTCGTAGAACACGCAAGCTATCAATAGTTCATCAATATTACCGTACCTAATGGTCTGAGTTCGGCTTCGCTGGAAGAAATGAAGAGCCTTGCCTCGCGGAACAAGGTGCTAGACTGGTCCTTGTTTTCCATTTCCCGGCAAGCTCCATCGAGACACTTGTCACTGCTTGAAACATCGATGTAATATCAACAGGTCAAGATATGGTTTATCAATTCGCATAAGTACCTATTGCAAAGTTTAGCTTTTGGACCACAGCTTCAGTATCCAGTTCGCGTGTTTCGGCCGTATGCATGCAGTACGTCTGTTCGATAGGAGCTGCGATCAACTACGAAGTAATAGTCAAAAGAAGAGCGTCGTCCGTCTCGCATCACCTAGTATTGGATTCAATCTTTTATGGAGCTTCTACTCGAAAATCAGTCTCGCCCCAGATCCATGGATGTACAGATGCGAGGGACGGTTTGAATTAGCGAAGAGGCCATCTATTCGTATATCTGAAGGGAGCTGGTCGAATACTTTACATCACATATGTGTACCATTTACTAACATTATTTGCCACCGAAGCCAAAAACCCCCATCACTATAATCGCTTTAAATTTCGAGGGTCATTTGAAGTGAAGGGTGCCAGAGCCTGAGAGAACTGAAGCAGAATCTTTTGTCGATGTTCGATGAGTTCATATCACGTGCTATCAGAAGGCCGATATTTAGCCGTAGCGTGACAGCTTGATATGTATACCTAGATACAACAGGGGGACCCTCCCTTTCCCTCGAAAAGTGCTTCTGAAAAATGAAATCATATGGTACTAGTGAGATGTTGCCTCCTAAATCTGACTCATGCATATTATCCATAAGTACGTGGATGGAAGCTTTCAATCCATTCACGATATCGGGGGGGTTCTTAGCCATATTTTGACATCTTCGTTGGTTGAGACCTCTTTTATTTCAAGGTATTCCATCTCAATAATCAGTGACGAGCTCTTCAAGTATCAAGGATTCGACAGGATGATATTGTACGGTTGTTACAATACCCTTTTTGGAAGCGTATTCACTTCGTCACACACAATATTATCGAGGGGCTTAGTATATTTAGTTACAGAAAACGTATGTGAACAGGCTAGATTTGAAAGATTAGCCTTTTACTCACCTACAAAGAGAGTTAGTGATGAAAGAGGCTTTGAAGTAATAAGTATCACATCTTAGCAGCGAGCAAGAAACAAACGCGTCCAGTACTTTAGGTAAAAAAAATTCATATCGCTAGACGACAGAAGCTTGGTTGTCCATAATTAATATCCTACAAATTGGGCAGAATTTCAGACAACCGAGGAATAGTTTGGTAGCACTCTGCCGTTATACAGCTCACGAAACAAACTTCCCAGTCAACCTTTGTTTGTGGGAACTCGAAACTGCAATCTGCCTAAAGATGTTTCAAATCTAGGAAATATATGCTTCCATCCCCTCTGAGTCTCTACTTTTCTTGAACGGATATAGTTTACGATCCAAAACGCTGCAGAAAGTACACATTAGACAATTTAGCCAAGAGCAACATAGAATCTGGCTGTGTCACTAGCAACTCCAGCCAAATCCTCATTATGTCGAACAACCTGATTCTCTCCATCTCAGTACCCCTCCTCACACCTTTCGTCTTCTGGGCTTGCGGCTATTCCTACTACCTTCGCTATATCTACATCCAATTCATGTGTCTTCCCGTACGCTCACTTAAGGACTTCTTCCAAACCATACAACCCTTGATTCCATGTGCCTGGATCTTTTTCATGATTGGATTTCTGGGATGGATGGAATATCTGTGTATTTTGGTGCTTTGGGTTGCTTTGATAGCATTTTGGAGTTGCGTTTTTGTGCAGACGATAAGAGGTGTTTGGGAAGGACAGAAGAGGAATAATGAGGAAGGGGATGGTGGATTGTTTGAGGTAGGAGTGGGAAAAGACACCAAGGTTGAGGGAGCGGAGAAGGAGGTGGAGAGGATTGTTAAGGAGCGGATTTGATGTGCGGCTGGATGTTGATATGGACGTGGGAGAATATCGACCGAAAAATTGAGAATCAAATCTGGAGGATGAAACGGGGGGATAGAGATACTAGATGAGATGAGTTAGTTCATATTCTTGTCTCAAGAAACTACGGAAAAAAAATTCTGGGTATCTTCTATATTCAATCTAGATCAAGGGACTTCAATTCCTCATACATCGTTCAAGCTCCAAGCATTGGAAATGTGATGATCTAGTAAATGCCCGTTGCATTCCGATAATGAAAGGATTGATATACAATAAATGCATGTTATCCAACCATGGATTGCCGATATAACAATCGAATTTCATGTCTTCTTTGGGGGATCCAAGATGTCGATATAATTCGCGGCGGAATACTCATTGTTTATCAAGCCCGTTCGCAAAATTGGTCTTGATTCTAAATCCATGACAAGGACGATGATCAAATGCTATCTCCATTTTCAGATGTCTCACTGACCCCCACACAGCTGTGCATTCGCGAGAAGCTTGTTTTCAACTTTGTGTAGCATAGGGATGTAAGCCGTCAGCACAGCATAATAAGCGCCAACAGCGTTGCAATATATGCACAATATCAACCTCATTGATGCTGAAGGCGTCACGACGACACCATCTTTTTTCTCCAAGCTCGGCCTTGTCCGTAGGGTCGCAGCAGGATGTCTCATTTGGTACGTATCCGTCATTTTCGCAGAATATCACCCACTGATCGATCAAAGTTATGGATGGGAGCCGTTTCTACTGTCAAAAGGTAGAGGGCAAAGGAACTTAAAGGAGTAGCGTATGTGGAGCGGAGTATCTCGAGAGTACCAAAAGAACAATCGCTAAAAAGCACATGGTGAAAGAATTCTACGTCTACTCCAATCCGCTACTCGCGCACCTCTCATGCAAAAGAAGAGCTGTCAGACCCCGCTAAATCCACACCACAAAGTTTTAATTAAACACACTTTTCGCTCCTTGATTTTGCAAGAACCACGAGATAACAACAGGAAGTTTGTTTGGACAAGCTTCTGGGTGCTATGTCCTGAATCACCATACTCATGGCTGTCATCCGCGCAACAGGATAGGACTGGTAGATATTTCGCAAACGATACATGTCTTGCATATCCCGTGGAGGTGATCATATCAAATAAATCAACACGGAAGCCAAATGAAGGGACGTCATTTCTAGGGGCGATGTCTCAAAATAGAGAATGATGGGCCAGGAGTTAGAAATAAAATTCCAATTCCTGATCTTAAGATGGGATCAGCAGCACGACAACGAATGGATACGAATTGATGCGAATTTCTGGCTTCATGAAAGAAGAAGAAACAAGCACTTAGAAAAAGACATTGAAACAGACGAATGGATTGTATGAAGGACAAGGATAGTTCTATGGTGGGGGATTCCCCGATACCAAGAGTGGTGCCAAGTGGATTCAAGCTTTTAGTTTAGCTTCTCCTGATAAGGAAGCTCGGAAGGTCATGAAGCTTTATCCCATCTCGAGCCCATGTGCAACTCCACTAAATCCGCACGATAGGCGTCGCCATGTCCGTATCTCGAATTCATGCGAACAATCTATCGATTTTAAACTGTCGGTTTGATGATTGGAAATGCTACCTTGGTCAGCTTACTTAGTATTGGTGTGCTGGGTGTTGTGTCCTGTGTCCTCTGTGTTGTGGTCCAAATTCTATCGGCGCAACCACCATATCAAGGATTGAGCATTTCCCAATGTGTAATATCTCGTTGGTATCTCAGGTACGACGCAGCTTGTTTGCAGCAGTTGGTAATCGACCAACGCTACTCTATGAAGGACTATAGTCAGCTATTATTGGTGTCAATGACGTCAAATATCTTCCTTACTTCTTTGGTTGATACCCTTGAAGAAATTGTCAAAGCAAATCAATAATTTTTCAGCTTGATACTGTCCGTTTTGATGTTCCAGATGATGTTGTCGTGAGCCAATGTTTGGATAGCATGAGCTTGACAACGACCTATACAACGGCACGGGTGGTTGCTACTCCATCTAATTCGACTTAGCGGATGCTTATTTCTTGTTTTTAGTGGAGTGGCTAGCTTACGCGTAGTATCTCATGTTTATTGGCACAGCCTCTCTGTTCTCTCAATTATTACTTCTTCAGATCATGTACGACGAGGGGTTGTTGTCTCGAACCGATCCACTTTGATGGAAGTGCCGAAAGATAAACCTTGTGTACCCTGGATAACATCATCTTCACTGCCCCCTCTCGCAGTGTGACACTATCTTGACCAAGGGGGCGAATTCGGTGTTTAGGAGAATTCGTCTCAACTCGTTCACGGGATACAGTATGTTAAAGATTCGGTCAAATTTAGACCTTCAATCGTGACCAAGTGTATATGAATAGCATCAAGAAAAAAGTTAACTTTTTGATACTCAAATCATATGATCTTGGCATTTTCTAACAGCTGCGTGCTGGAAGGGGTATGCCTCACCAGATGATTCCTTATCACTACCCACTATGCGCCTTCCCCGGTCGTGCATAGCATGGAAGCTGCCCTGCAACTACGGAACTTAAATTTCTGACGCCTTGGCTAGATCATCTGAAAGCTAAGTATCTTAGCGGTGGTAGGGAGCTCTACAGGTGAAAAGGTTACGATGCTCAACAGCATTTAAAGACAGCGTTTCCCGTCGTCAACTTCTTCTCTCCTCATACCATCCATCTTTAAATCACATCTACCTACAACAGAATTATTATTAACTAACTTTCCTATTCACCTTGATTAAACCACCCAACATGGCTACTCTCCAAGGCTTGTCAAAGATTAGACTGGTTCCTAACAAGAACTACAAAAGATCCGGTACCAAATCCTATGTCTATCTACTCAACAAATGGGGCTTCGAACCCACTCAACCTGGACCATACTTCCAGATGAACAAGGCCACCACAACTTCCGCTAGCTTCCATAAATTTGGCCATAAATCACAAACTCAACGTGTGTTGGCAAAGAAGACATCTACTGGAGAGAATGGTGAAGTCCCAGCCGAAGACCAACAAAATGACTCCGAGTATTTCTGCCCTGTGCAGATTGGTACCCCAGCACAAACTCTGATGCTTGACTTCGATACTGGATCGTCTGACTTATGGGTAAGTACTCGAACGTTAGATTCTCGCAGCAAAAACTAACATGGCGAAACAGGTCTGGTCCACAGAACTTCCCAAAGCCACAACTTCCAAGGCAACCGGACACACGATCTTCGACCCATCAAAGTCTTCCACCTTCAAAGCTGCAAAGAGTTCCAAGTGGCAAATCTCATATGGTGATTCCTCTTCTGCTTCAGGTACCGTTGGAACAGATACTGTTTCTCTTGGTGGTCTGGCCATCAAAAACCAGGCCGTTGAGCTTGCAACCAAATTGTCTGCTCAATTTGAACAAGGTGCCGGCGATGGATTGCTTGGTCTCGCATGGGGAAGCATTAACACCGTCACACCCAAGCCAGTTGCTACACCTGTCGAGAACATGATCAGCCAAGAAGACATCCCGTCAGACGCCGAGCTTTTCACTGTCAATCTTGGTAGCTGGCGTGATGCCGATGAAGCCGACAAGGGTGCCAGTTTCTACACATTTGGCTACATCGACCAAGACGTCGTTGGAAGCAAAGAAATCTACTACACTCCCGTCGACAACTCTCAAGGATTCTGGATGTTTGACTCTACTTCTGCTACTGTCAATGGCAAGACTGTTGCGCAGACTGGTAACCAAGCTATTGCCGATACTGGAACCACTCTTGCATTGGTTTCTGATGAGACTTGTCAAGCCATCTACGATGCAATCCCAGGATCTACTTATGATTCGGAACAGCAAGGATACACATTCCCAAGCAACACCAGCGCGGACGATCTTCCTGTCGTTACTTTTGCTGTTGGCGGCAAGCAATTCGCAGTTCAAAAGGAAGATTTGGGATTTGCGGATGCGGGTAATGGTATGGTTTATGGTGGTATCCAATCCAGAGGTTCCATGACGTTTGATATTCTTGGCGATACTTTCCTCAAGGGAATCTATGCTGTAAGCTCCATTGCCCACTCAGTTCTGATAGTAACATGCACTGACACTTTTGCTAGATCTTTGACCAAGGTAACACCCGATTTGGAGCTGTTCAAAGAACCGAAGCTACACAGAATACCAGCGCTCCACCAGCTTAGATGATTTTCAGGCATGGAGTATGGTTTTTGAACTTTTGTTTATTGGGAGGAACTGTTGGGCTATGGGCTGGTTGGGAATGTTTGGATCATAGGTGGCAGGGGCACATCTTAGTGTTAGATGTGTTGTTTCTTTGGGCTTTACTATAACTTCTGGTTAGAATTCATTATTCTCACCTCTTGATTTCTTTTTCATGCGATATGCATTAGGAATGTGATTTGTGAAATTGCATACGCCATGATATCGAATCCTCTAAATTTCAGCGAGATGTCCCAAGTATGTTACCTGGAGTAGGATTGCTAGATTGAATTAGATATAAAATTTACCTTCTGGATTGAGTGAATACCTGAGAAAATAAATGATTGGACAAGAAAAACGTTGTCTGGAGAAATATTGAAGAGAGCATTTCTACTCATGAATTGTACTTCAATCTGCCATCTACTTCGCCTTGCTTGCAGCATCCTCATCAGCTAGCAATCCCAAGATTTCCTGCTCGGAAAACCACGCTCTTACACTATCAATAACCTTCTCAAGTTCATCACCACCCTCCATAACATCATCTAAATTATGCACACTCAATCCACTCCTATGATCCGTAACCCTCTGTTGTCCCCAATTATACGTCCTAATTTTATCGCCTCTTCCCATCTTCGCAACTCCAATCACACTTCTCCTCAAACTCATCAATTGTTCTTCTCTAGCCTCCCTTTTTGCAGCCGCTAGTCTCGACCGTAGTACTTGCCATGCTTTCTGTCGATTCTGCAGCTGACTCCGTCCTTCTTGCATACTGACCACTGTATTAGTGGGTACATGCGTTAACCGCACAGCCGAATCAGTTGTGTTGACATGTTGACCACCCGCTCCTCTCGCTCTCATAACATCTGTCCGCACATCCGCAGGATTGACATAATAATCACTATTCGGATCATTTAAATCCGCTTCCCAATACTCCTGTCCTTCCTGTCCCGTCGTGGGAAAACTAGGTAACACCATTACACTCACTGCACTAGTATGTGTTCTCCCTTGTTTTTCCGTTGCAGGAACTCGCTGGACTCGATGAACGCCCGCTTCGCCGCGCAAGGAATCGTACGATCCGGACGTTTCAATTTCAAGCACAACTTCGGAGATGGGCGCATCGGATCCAGCGCCTTCCCCGTCAGTGGTCTCATATTTGATGATTGTAGCGCGGAATCGTTTGCGCGCGCAATATGCCCGGTACATGCGTAGGAGATCCGCGGCGAAGATCGCGGCTTCGCCTCCTCCGGCTCCAGGTCGAATTTCAAGGAGGCATGGTAATTCGGCGAAAGGATGTTTGGGGGTCAGACTGGTAGTGAGATTTCGGGACAATTCTTCGAGATGGGCCGTCGTCGTAGCAATGTCTTCCACAGCCAATTCTCTCAATTCTTCATCGGTAGATGAATCTTTCAGTAAATCATTTAGCTCTGAGAGCGATTCTTTCGTTTCTTCCCATTTTTTCAGCGCTATCGCGACATTTTGTAATTCTCCAATTCGTTTCGCAATTTTGGCATCAAAGGTCTCGGAAGTTTCGTTACTCAATCGATCGTGTTCCGCTGCCAAGTTACGAGCTCGTGCAAGTAATGCTGGGGAAAAGGTATCGCCATTGTTTGCTGTTCTTCGTGTAAGAGGATGTGAATGGAAGGGTAGATTTGAAGACTAACGGACGGTGCTTGAGAATCGTGTGAATGCCAAAGAGCGCCGTTTACCAGGCTTCAATGATAAATGTATACATCGTCGACATATCCAAGGAGCTCTAAACATTCTCGTGGGAATGAATTTCTTGATAATTTATGAATTTCTATTTCATAGAACTTATTAATCTCATCCATCAACATTTTTGGAGCACGGCCTATACTCGGGTAAACTAGCTTCGAGCGGCCGCTTCTTTGGCTCGAGCATGATGACGTGAGCGAGCAATTTCCCCGCTAACTATCTATAATTAAGTGAAGTAAGTCGACTTTATTAGATCAACCACAAATGATATTATAAAAGTTGAAAATGCAAAACAGAAATCTAGCTTTCATTCATTTCAGAATAAGGAGCAAAGCAGGTTCCATGAGAGATGAGAAAAGAAAGAAATTTAGGCTATAAAGACTTTCTAAAAGTGCCTATGTAGTATCGTACCTCATATCCGGATATTTATCTCGCCTACATACTAGGTCGACCCCACGTTCACATTTCATATCGTAACTGCCGAAAGCGGGACTAACTCTCCTCTTTCGCCATTCAGATACTAGTCAAGTGAAGTGTGAATGAAATCTTTTGGGAGATTGTTTCTATAAGTTTTCTCTTCTGTGCATCTGTCTAATATATAAGACTTCCACTGTGGTATAGAAACTTACTTTAACATATCTACATTTCGTTATCAACGGTAGTAGCCGAGGATTTAGGAAGCATTTCCTTCAGCTGCCCACTCTAGAGATCTGTTTCGAAAATGCCTGTCAATCTAAACTCAGTCTTTCCGGCCTCCGACCCGGAGTTTGTTACATTTCCTAGTAGGAGAAGTGTTGTTCATAGTACTGATGGTTTGATCGCTTGTACCCAGCCTTTAGCTGCGAGATGTGGTCTCAAGGTTTTGGAGGCCGGTGGAAATGCAGCTGTAAGTTGTCCTTTTCCTAACAATATGCAAGCTAACTGGTCTTAGGACGCAGCGGTTGCAGTTGGTATGTTAAACCGCTTCAATATAGTATCATCTAATCTAACAAGAATCCAGCTGCTGGTCTCAACCTGACAGAGCCAACCTCCACCGGTATCGGTGGCGATATGTTCTGTCTTTTTTATGATGCCAAGACGAAGGAAGTTAGTTCTTTAAATGGCTCAGGTCGTGCAGGCAGCAAATACTCTCTTGAAAAAATCCGACAAGATCTCGGATTGAAGGATGATGAACCTGCAAGAATCCCACTCAAAAGTCCACATGCTGTTACTATACCAGGTGCAGCTGCAGGTTGGGTTGATACTGTTGAGAGGTTTGGTAGTGGAAATCTTACTTTAGAGCAAATCTTGGCTCCGGCTATTGAGATGGGTGAAAAGGGGTTCCCCGTCTCCGAATTGGCCTCAACTATGGTATTGTACCCTAACCCTCCCCAAGATCGCCAAGTCTGATGCAAACAATAGTGGAGAAGCAGTGAAGGTCTACTTCAAAGAGCATCCCCTAACTTTTCCGAAATGCTAAAAGAGGATCCAAGTGCTCCAAATGGCTGGCGGGCACCAAGACCAGGAGAGATATTCAAAAATCCAGATCTTGCTAAGACTTTCAGGGCACTCGCATCTGAAGGTAAAAAAGGCTTTTATACCGGAACAATCGCCGAAGAAATCATTAGAGTCACTCGGAATTTGGGTGGATTCCTTGAGCTAGACGATTTGAAAAACCATATGAACATTGGTAGTGAGAAATCTACACCCATCTCCAAAGTTTTCAAAGGCCAAGGATACAGCAAAACCCATCATTATGTCGACGGAATATCTGGCCAGGGCACCAGCGAAGATAATCATGGTGTCAAAATCTGGGAACACCCGCCCAATGGCCAAGGACTCGTAGCACTCATGACCCTCGGTATCCTCGAAGAACTCGAGAACACGGGCAAAATCCCGCATTTCCAGGAGAAAGATCATAACTCTGCCGAATACATTCATGCTGTTATTGAATCTTTGCGTATAGCTTTCGCAGATGCTAGTTGGTTTATCGCCGACCCAGCTTTCGCCAAAGTCCCTGTAGAAGAACTGATCTCTCAACCTTATCTCGCCGAACGCGCTAAACTGTTTGACCCTCAGCGTTCTAATCCCGAGATATATGATCATGGTTCACCAGCTCATAATCATAGTGACACTGTATACTTCGCCGTAACCGACAAGTGGGGCAATGGAATCTCCTTCATAAACTCCAACTTTGAAGGTTTCGGCAGCGGTATCATTCCCAAAGGCTGTGGATTTGTTCTTCAAAACCGAGGTGGAAATTTCTCACTTGAGAAGGGCCATGCTAATGCCATTGCGCCTGGAAAAAGACCTTATCATACCATCATTCCAGCTATGGTCACAAATGTCCACGATGATTCGCTACATAGTGTGTACGGCGTCATGGGTGGTTTTATGCAACCACAAGGACATGTTCAAGTACTACTTAATATGTTAGCGTTCAAATTGAATCCTCAAGCAGCACTTGATGCGCCGAGATTCTGCATCAGTGCAGATGGTGTTCCGGGAGAATCGAATAAAGAGAAAAGAGTGTTTTTGGAAGAAGGAATCAGCAAAGATGCTTTCGAAAAATTGAAGGGAATGGGCCACCAGGTAAAAATGGTTGAGGGGTACCAAAGGGGTGTCTTTGGTAGAGGACAATTGATTAGAGTGCATGGAGAGGAGGATGGAGTTTTGGTTTTCAGCGGGGGAAGTGATCCTAGAGGGGACGGGGCTGTTTATCCTGGGTAGATAGATGATCAACAAGGAGGATTTTTGTCTGTTAGAGATTCATATAGGATAATTATCGTCAAATTTCGTTCTTTACCCGACTTTTGGAGAAAGTAAAAGTTGGAGCCGAATTCTACGAGACTGAATACACTGATATTTGTATGCGATTAGTACTATTCTCCGAAATACGTATTCATTCACGAAAAAAACGTCATTACATTCAACATTCACATTGATATCATTTTATGTACGGCAGATGACTCTTCTATTCTTCAAAAGTTATTTGATTACTCTTATATCTTAAAAATCACACTGGTTGTATTCTTATATTCTTTAGATTCTATCTATGATAGAATCTATATTAGAGTTATAGATTATAATTTATAATAATTAAAGATAGCAAAAGAGATTTCAGATTCAAATCATTCAAATCATTCAAATCATTCAAATCATTCAAAGTAAAATATCATAACCAACTTGAGTGTTCTCAAGGCAATTTACACCATTGTATCCGAGTTTTTAACACTATCCGCCCAAATATATCCCATGACAACATCTCCATCCACATTAATATCTTCACCTGACTCACCACCGCTAAAACCATCGCTAACACCACCAAAACCAGTTCGCTCCCGACTTTCGCCAAACAAGAGAGCCTGCTCGACCTCATTAGCCGCCTGTTGCTCTGGGGATACCGTGTCTGTAGCTTCCTGGTTTGGCACGACAGCCAAGACCGAGCCATCTATATGACGGAAATCATCCTGAGTGAAAGCGTACCTCTCTACGCATTGGGAGACAGTAAAATCGGCATCAACAGCCTGGATACCCTATTGTTAGCTTTGAATCCTCGCATAATATTCATATCCATGACCTACGCTTTCCGCAACACTGGGGTCTCCCGCCTCCAAAGCTCGCTTAGCCCAGAAACTTTCAATTACGGGCAATTTGCACTATGTATCAATATCAGAATTCTTCTTCTGCTGAAAACATACACTCGGCATGACTCACCTGTTCGAAAGCTAAGCGCAAAAGCGCCTGCTTCTCCTCAGTAGACTTTGGCGCCTGGGGCCAGTCATTCAATCTTCTCTCTATCAACCAAAACCAATATCGTTCGACTGGCGCGCGCTTGACTACGAGATTCGCTTGATTCATAGCGCACACTTGGCTTGAAAATTGATGGAATTTGTAGATTCGTGTTATCCAATGGAAGTTGTGTCTTAGAGCTGGATAGTGGTAAGCGGGTTCGACTTCTTCGATTAAGGAAGGATCGATATCGTCTGCCTCGGTGAGTTCTTCGGAATCACTCATTTTCTAGATGGAAATATTAGTAGTGCGATATAGATTTGCAGAGGAAATATTCTGGGGATTGTTTTGAGGCTTACGTAGATGTGGAAATGTACGTAGGGGTGAACTTGTGCTGCGACGTTGAGGGTGTCGATATTATTTGGGGTCAGAAGTTTTAGCGCAAAAGAATGAATGTGAAAGCTTTATAAAGAAGTGAGTAGAATTGGAAAGTGAATAGAATGTACTCATCCAATCGTTGGGTCTGAGACGTTCGAGAAGAGTAAGCGACTCTATATTCAGTGAATCCTACACGTGTTGTTTGGGGCATGGAGATACGTAAACTATGAAGAGAGAAGAGCTAAGCGACGAAGAGAAAATGTAATTATACCCTCCTTCTTAGCCTTTGGTCATGTGTACCCCTGACATGATAATCTCATATAAGTGTATACCCACGATAGATTGAATAAATGGATTAAAGTTGTCACATATATATATAAAAATACATCTTGATACAGACTAGCCTGGAGCATAAAGGGGTAAGAGGTTTCGGTTATTGAAAAAGTTATCTGTGATTGTATAAACAGTCCCTTAGTACACATAAACCCACTGGGTTTGCATCGTACAAAAGACTGGATCTTTCTATGTCTAATCTGATAATCAACTTCTATGATTCACCTTTATTGCTCCCCCTCCTCGCCATCTTCCCAAACCCACTTCCTCCTGCTCATCACCCAGCCAGCGGTCCAGATGGCCACCCCTCCTAAACCACATATGAGACTCAGTCCAAAGAATGGTAGCCCCACCCAAATTCCTTTCAATCCCAATCCCACAATATAAAGTTGCGCAAAGCACGGTCCCGCGATGAGTCTTCCAGTTGTCTCGACCACTGCCACTGCCACATACAGCTGTCCCTTGTGTTGTCGATCAACTAGCGTCGTTATCAGAGAGCGCGTTATGGAGATTTATCCTGCGCCCAAAGTAAAGACTGACATCCCTAGGATAGCTAACGGAAGAGTTGAGGCTAGGGCGATCAAGAGTGAACCGAGTGTGAGAATAAGAATAGAGGCGCGAGCGAGGTGAAGGTCTTTCTTCGAGGAGGGGATTTTGAAATACGTGATCATGATTTTTGATAGAAAGGAGAGAATGAGGAGAAATAATATGATTTGCACGGCAGCGTGGAGGGACCACAGGAAGGAGCTTAAACGAAGAGGAAAGTGGAAGCGGTTTGCTTATGTAGCGAAGCGATATATCGACAGATTGGCTAGTAAGAGGATTGATGATGAAAGTGATAAGGAGTAAAACTAGAGGTGCAGAGTTGAGAATCGAGAGAGATGATTGGAGTGTTCGGAGCGTATGTGAAAATTTGTGTTTTATCGTGGCGAAGAGAGAGTTTCGCGGCTTGCAATTATGAAGGAAGTCGTTACTTTATGTAGTAGGAGCCACATGCGAAGTATTAGTTCTCCGATGTTGCATGTGTAGAGTTTCTGGAACGAATAATATGAGGAGACTCCCGAGAGTCAAAAACGATATTCCTAGTAAAATTGGGATCCATGGAGACTTGGCCATCAATAAAGCAGCTAGCGACGGAGCGATCAATTGCCCGACAAGATCTGAAGCAGCCGCCAGGAAAAAGATATTAGTCTTTGATTTGTTAGTATAATTTAACATCATTTTATCTAGAGACGAATATAAAAGTACCTTTTGGCTTCTGGAGTGATATCACTGGCGATGGCAAAAAATGCCATGCTTCCTACACTCGGTCCTCCCCCTATAATTGTGAATATGGGACCAAGCCAAATGAGGCGAAGGGGGTAGTGTATTCCAGAACCACATCACCACGATGTTCCATAGGTAGCTGAGGATAGTGCCTGTCATTGCTAAAATGAAGATTGGCTTCCTTCCGATTCTGCAGTTTATTAATATGGTACTTGTTTGAGAGAGATTGATTCTAGTGATCATCCTGGGGATTTCTCGTCTTTGGATTTTGGTTGATAGAATTGAACTCGGTAAATACCTTTCCATGAGCATACCATGCGGTATTGTTAGAAAAAGACCTTTGACAATCAGATTCTTTTTCAGCCATTATGTTTCTATTTTGCTTGCTTACCTGGAATAGCCCCAAGAAAGTGAGTTCCGGCAATTATGATACTCAACTCATTCTGAATATCATCTTTCTTAAATATGCTCTCATCGATATCTCCTCCCAGAACGATATGACCCTCTCCCTGTAAGCGATCATAGTAATGGTGACAAATTATATCTTCGTAGACTCTTAACACGGGTACAGCCATCAGGTACCCCCCGAACTCAAACCATAATAAAGTCGCAAGTACGATCACCGTTATGGTGGATGGTGATCGTGCCTGGAAAAAGATTAACCGGAACGGTTGAGAAAACGAAGAGAAGATGGATCGCTATTTTGGTGGGGACAGCAGAGGTGTCTCCTCACTGGGAAGTAAATCTTGAACTGACATTGTGATTTCACTTGAGAGTGATGTACTTGACTGTTTCTCTTAACACTTGGTAAAGAATGCGAGAAGGAAATAATAAAACATAGCAGATGGTGTTCACACCCCGAGCATGGCCAATCAACTTTGATGGCCACGGAATATCACAACAGTTTGATGCACAGATATATCCGAATAAAAACATGATAAAGCGCAGCGTTTATTCGTCCATGCGAATGGTTAGAGTATTGTCGCGTTTATCGTTGATCAACCAGCTTTGATTGGTTTCTCGAGAACATTGATGAGGCTCCATTCCCTGTACCTGTCAGCAATCTCCAGGTTTGACCGCGCACCTACATCCAAAGTATAAAAGCAGTGCTTTTTACAAAGGCAGAGTACTCTGACAGCTGAAAAACTTTTGGTCCAGGAAGGAAAAAAGTTCTAGCATTCTGAAATATTTATCTATTGAATGAAGAACTCTCAACTAATCATCTTTTGCCGGAATTCCAACTTTTTAAGGATTAGATGGGTGTTAGTACTGCGTTTTGTCCTTATATCATTCTATTCGTTTTGATCTCAGGCAATCCCTCGAAATAATACGCCCACTAGGCCATAGACATCCACAGCCATCTAGTATCATCGAGCTATCAAACATTGACCATGATACGTAGCAGCTTGTTTTGGCTTTTCCTTAAATTTACCTCTCGTTTGGCATAGCTGGTGGTCCGAAGCAAACACTAAAGACAAATTATATTCATCGGTGCACTGCAGCTACACTTCTCGCACAACATGAACTGATTAACACGGCCGGGGAATCGGGCAAGAACTAACATCTCCGTCTTCTTCGAACCCCATCTTCTTATCTTCCTCTTTAGACTCACATAGCAATCAACAGCGCTAAATATCTCTCTAATCCTCACACTATTCCGCGTGCTCGATCTATTACACAGCAGAATCTCTGTCGACGATATCGGCATCATTTCCCTTCCTACGAAACGGTATGCTCGGGTCTGAACGCCATCCCTTAAGAGCCGTGTTTCTTACGAGGAAAGATTGAATTTTGCCAGAATCTCGATCAGCATTGTATATTAAACGACAGCTTTGATGCATGCCTTGAGTATGGCATCTCTAGAAATCATCATAATCACCCTTGGAAGTCTTGATATCGGAATGGGCGTCGATATATTTAAACACGAACGCCAACTTTTTTGCCTTGTGCGCGAGCGCTTATGAGACCGAGGAGAATTTTGATCACGGATGAGGCTACTAGCAAGTAGGTTCCAAGTAATACGTTGGTGTGTGTGCTTTTGTTATTGCAACCGCATGGGTTCGTTTGAGTAGGGAGAATTGATGGAGTGGGATGATTGAACGAATCTACCGGTGCAAAGTTTTTTCTGTTCAGAGAATGGCAAGGGAGTCAGCAGCGACGCCATCGCCTGCGTATTAAGGTAAATCAGCAAAGAAAGAATTTCTATATCCTTCCACAGTTTTAACGTATGTTTTCGCTGATGCAAATGTCGATGCAATAGAGATCTGTTTCGACTAAATTTGAAATCAGAAATCTCTATTCAACACGCGTTTTGTGTTGTTGGGAGGCTCCAAATGTTTGAGAATAGGTAGACACGCAGTGCATATAAAAATGAGAAGGTCACGCATATTTCAAAGCATCAAAATCTCCTCTTTCTTCCTTCTTTGTCTCTCCGTCACTGAACTGGAGTGTGCAGTCTTAAATCTGAAGGGAAGTAGAGGGAAGTATAAGAGAGTGAAGTGAATTGAAGAGAAGTAACCTAGGTAGTGACCTTTTCCCAATTATTTGCACAAAATGAACGTCAAGAATGTGAATCATTCCATCATCATTAGACAAGAGATCCCCGCAAAACAATTCGCATTCGGGATTAAAGGCGCATTCTCACATGGGAATGATTATTCACAGAATGCAGATGTTTCAATCAAGTGATTCTCTGTATGTTAGAGCTCCCAAAAAAACAAAAGAAGAGGAGTATAAAAGCTTGATCATTTGGTCAAACAGGCGAAGTAATTAGCTCATTTTTATCATTCGATTTGTCGAGGAAGAAAGAACAAAAGTGGTTTCACAAAGAATTTAAGGTAATGTAAGCTTTTTGAATTATAAAACGAGAGTTCTGCAAGCAAAAAGTACTCTTGAGCTCTGTGGAGAAATAAATGTATGTACACATCAATGCAGGTCCTACCAGGTATTGCAATTTGTGTGCCCTTTAGCTGTTAACCGTTGACCACCTCAAAAGCATATTCTATATATGCATTTGTTCTGTAACGTTTGCCTTTATCTATCCATCCATCCAGCCACGCATCATTGAAAACCATAAAGAAAATGATATTCTCCCCGGAGAATTCGACCTATTACTCATCTGAGTAATCACATATGTCCTCATCGTCTGAAGGGACGGTGGTAAGGTCAGGGAGTCAGCTGTAAAACCAGTATTGAGCGGCGTACTGAATACTCTGAATGCCGGCTGTTGTGCAAGGATTGATGGAGTTTCCACCGGCGGTTTCGACGCGGTAGACTGATGTGAGACCAACAGACACATAGGTGGATTTGGCAGCTAAGGATAACCAATCAACGGCGCCGGTATCAGCAGGTCCTGGACTGGAATTGATGGGAGGATCAATGTCACCAGTCTTGGCAGCGTACAAGATCTTGTTGACAGATGAGAGGTCAAATGTTGGAGTTCCACTAGCGTCGAAGAAGTGCTTGCCCAAAGGCTTGAGACCCATGAAACTAGCGCTACTAGTAGAGGGAAGATCGGTATAGACAGCGATACCTGGGAAATTGTTCAATGCGGTACTGGCACACTTGGCGTATTCAGTTGCATCGTAAAGGCTAGCGACGGCACCAAGAGCCACAGGAGTAGCACCAATGGCGGAGCAGGTATAGTTTTGGACACCACGACCGAGAGCAACATAGGTGAGGGTGCCAGCTGGTGCTGGGAGAGCAGATACAGCTGCAAAGGAAGATTGTTAGCTTGTATATCCCGACAAACAGAAATGGTGAAATTGAGAAAGTGGAAACGCACCTCCAGTAGTAGGTAGTAATGGTGTTGCACAACTATGTTTACCTGAAGTAAGGGCTGAAACAGTGCCCATTGGAGCAGCTGAAACGACCGAGACTAAGAGGAGAACGAGACTGCTGATAGAGCGCATGATGTCGTTGGAGGAAACGATTTTGTTGTAGATTAGAGGTTGAGTGTTGATTCGATGTCAAAGTAGTGGCCGACACCGCTTTAGTTAAACTCGGGGTAAAGATTTGAAGTATCGAGGGAGTTGATGAAGACGAAGTGGAGATTGGAGATCAAGTTGAAGATGGGAAAGGTCGTATTTTATATCTAATTTCCAAGTTTGAAGCTGTCGTAGAGGTATTGGAAGCACCAATTGAAGGTTTTCAATTGGAATACGGGTATCAAGGTTGTGTATAGATGTATTAAGTGAATATTCTTGAATATAAAAATCCAGTGGAAGCTGTTGATCAATTGCCAAAGGTGAGGGAGAAAAAAGTGATCTTATAGAAATCGAGGTGAATTTGACTCGATTGAGAATCAGATAAATCTGCATGGGAGCAATAAACAACCCCTAGTGAATTAAGCCGAACCCTGAAGATACCATACTATTCCATACTAGTTAAATGCGGAGGATTAGCTAGGAGGTAGTACATGGTATCTAGTACTGTATTTATCAAACAAGAGAAGAGAAAAACCATCATGAACCTTGTCGAGCGATACAATAGAAATAGATGTGGATCTCTTTCGTGGTGGCATCTGTACATTTTTCCACTTTTTGGCTTGCAGACTTGCAGACTTGCAGACAAGGGGTTCTCTCTGGCTTTCTTGGTATGTACGATACCATGCATCTCTATAAGCCAAGACTCGAACCCTCGAACCTCTATCTTGCATCTCACTCCGTCCATAGTATCTCCTGCATTTGACTTCCCGTCTGCATGTATACCCCGGGGCGCACAGAGATTCAGATTCAGATGATAGCTTGTAAGTTTGTGGGAGTATGGAAACCTAGGTAGGTAGGTAGGCAGGTAGGTAAGGTCGAGGCAGGTAGCAAAGGACAAGGATTGTTTATGGTCTTCGTTTGAAGTGAAAGCACCTAGCATACTGGTACACTGGTATGCTCGTATATACTCGCTTCTCGGTACCGGCATGTCACTCGATGAATGTTGAAGAAAAAGAAGAAGTCAAGAATAGAATTGGAATTGGAGCTAGCTAGGGACTGGAGAAGCTTGAATGCAAAACTAATCGGAATCCAGTCTAGTGTTACCGAATGGCGTACGTGCCCTCGAACCATCTCTTGCCTCGAACTTGACTCGACCTTGCCTCGACCTTATTAACCTCTCTCGCTTCTTGCCCAGATGAATGCTTGTCACTTTCTTACAATCCTTGATGTCTTCATCTAAAAGTTTCCATTCTAACCACACGATCTATTCCCCACCCTTCTACTTCAATATCTGAGTTGCACAAATTCGTTGTTCGTGCCGGGACCCTACCGTGCATCTTTTTTTGGTTGTCGATAGATATCATTCTCCTCTTCTTCGTTGGTCTCTCCGTCACGATAATATGCACGAGATGAGAAGCTCCATGTATCTTTTCACTTGTACCACGGTAAGATTGTACAAAAGGAAATAACCTCATTTATCGAATTGCGACACTGCGACACTGCGACACTGCTACGATGCTACACTACTCTACCCTCCCTGACAAGGCAGGTATCATACGGCATCTAGGCACCTAGTGTTCAAGAAACCTCTTCTTCTCGAAAAGAATCTTCAAGCCAATATCGGGATTCACCAATCTTGGCTATCGTCGTAAGCATTCATCTTCCATTTTCCCGCATCCTTATCAGACCTTATTCCACCGTTTCTTGGTGTAATCATGTACCGTAATCGTTCAGCAACAGAAATTCCCGAGCGGTTAATTCATTTAAACCTAAATGAGCTCTTGTATTTGCTTCAATGCTTGAATTTTTGTACAGATACGGCACTCTTGGAAAGAATCGCTAAGTTTCCTTGTTAGATGCTCGCTGCTGTCGATCTTGCTCAGGCTTGTAAAGTTGCAAGCATCTAGAGATTTTACTGGGTAGCCCTGTGAGCATGAAAATTTTACTGGCATGGCATTGATCAATGCCGGGTTGACAAAAACCGTTTTCTCTGATGGCCTACATCTTCCTTGTGGCAGAATCTCTATGGATTAGGGATCTTCTGGTTGATGCTCAGAAAGTGAGGGGAAAAAGGGTCCAATAACTACAAATCAATCTATCTGGTACGGTAAGCTATTGCTAACTCAAGTCAAAATTCGCCTCATGTTTGATCGCTAGATGAGACGAACGGGTGGAATTTTGAGGGGAAACAGGGAAAGATAGAAGTTAGTACAGGGCTCAACGAATATCAAACTGTGACAGTTGTGGGATTCAGACGAAACAATTATCACAAACACCACAATCAGCCAAAAGAAACCAGAAACAAAAGAGACCAACTCCTTCTCATCCTTCAATTTAATCTTCTTGTTGTACGTTTGGATTCCTCCTGAGCATTGACAATTTTCCATGTGTTAGAAACGTGGAAGTGTACTCACACTGTTTCGAGGAGTTGTCTGAATGCTTCAGATTTTTTTGGCTGCACACTTCCCATGTTCCGTCGGGGTGTGCTGACTGCAGTTTGAACTCCTTCCTTCTCTGTAAAACTATTATTCGAACTCCTCCATTATTTCGCCATTTCTTAAGTTCAAAATAGGAGACGAGGCTACAGATAATCATCATCTGAATCTGGGGAGTTCTTCACTTTGTTATCGCAGTGGATCCATCAGACAACGAAGTTAGTTGATTCCCTGAAGCCTCGCAACATCTCTCTCCAAATTGATTGTACGAAGTAGACTCTGGTAACCTTCAAATTGTGTTATCTGGCTTTCCTCGTAATTATTGAATTTCCTTGTTTAGAGGCCCATTCCCTCAAATGCAGAAACGCCACCTTCGACCATCCCGCATTCATCTCTACTCTCCTGACAATCAGAAATTATCCACCACCCGAGCCATTCCCTACCATTTTCCTAATCAGTTTTATGTGCAACATTTTGGACATCTGTAAATGAGTTGAGAGCTGATATCTTATTCGGGTCTTTTACCAGCCACTTGTTGCATCCCTACCTTTTTACCTGGTAAGATCTCGCTCTCGCCTCGATAGCAACAAATAATCGCTAATTGATGCAAATTTAATCCACTCGAATTGGTCAGTTGCCGTAATACAACCGAATTGCCAGCTAATTGCTCTCGAAATAGAAATTTTTATGCATCTCCGCCGAGTGACTTGCTATTTTCGGCACCATTTACTCAAATGGCGGGGTTACATCTCAACCATCTTCATGTGACATTCAACATTCGAAGCGGTAATAGAAGTCTCCCCGGGCCCGTATATCGTTCAACAACCTTGTCTATGCTTGCTTTCTTCCTGTCCACTCATTCCATGTGCCCCTTGTCGACGAATAATACCGCCTTTCAATTCCAGATCCTTTTGCCGAGTGCCGAAACATCGGCTAGATGAAGACGACTCAACCAGCTATTCGTCTAAGTGATCGCGACCTTGTTAATACAGGACTTAATATTTCCACATCTTCGAAAACTTCTAATTCATACAAAAATAGAGCATCTAGAGTTTTTGACCAGTCACAATCACCCAGGGTATCTCGTCACATAGCTACGAAATCAGAGTCACTCAATCTTAAGCCATAGAGTCGCCGAGGATTTATCATCTTATGATTTAGCTCGGAAATCTTTGCACAAACAAATAATGAATGCACTGTCACGCACGATGGGTTTGTCCCAGGCCGGCATCACGCTTTCCTCTACACGATATCTGCGATCTCAAACGTTCATGGCACCATTTGATTGGCGTACAGTGTATGAATGAGCCGCTGTTGGAAGTGGATTTCTTAATAAGTAAGTCGACCACCCTACTTTCGGGCCACCACTATTTTGGGCCATTCTCTTACACCAAAAATCGCTTTTTTAGCCTATTAATATCTCTATTAATATATAATCTAATTTAATAAAAATTTGAATATATATAATTTAAGTCATTTTAGACTTATTCTGAAAATTTTAGATTTTTAGGATTTTTTTGTATTGAAATCTAAAGCTTTAAAATATTGATTTTTAAATTTATATAGGAATTACATATAGATTTAAAACTTTTATAAAATCTTTAATAACTTTTTAACAACAATTATTAAAAGAAAACTGTATATCTTTTTGAAAGTTTCGAACTTAAATTTATATAGAAATTAAAAAAAAAATTAAAAAAAATTAATAAATATAAAGATATAATAACGTAGTTTATTAGTATATACATTATATTAATATGTATATCATTCATTTTATATACAAAATTCGTCTGTATGTAATCGTATACTTTCTTTATTTATAAATTAAAATTTCTGAAAATTTAATACAAATTATTTAATTATATATGAATTATAAAAATCTAATTAATTTTAAGAAAAACTTAATTTATAAAGTAGTTATTATAGAAATAACTATTTTGTAACAAAAATCGTAACAATTTTCACTTTTTCTAAGATTTAATAGGAATATTTATATAAAAACTAAATTTTTAAGAATATATTTTCGTATAATTATTTAATATTCTTTTTTTTTTCTAAAATAATGATTAGTTATTAAAATAATAATATTAAAAAAGGCCTAATTTTGATATAATTTGAAATGATACACGTACTGATATAGTATACGCACTAATAAACTACATTATACAATGAGTTTAGAGTAGTATAAATAATCTCTGCAATTTTGAGGGTATTCTTTTAAATATCTATTTATAAGAAGCTTTCTATTTTTTTTTTATCTTTTAAAGTAAATATACTATAAACTTATAATAAAACTTTTTAGTTTATTTTTAGCAATTTTTATTAAAAAGTTATTAAAGATTTTGTAAAAGTTTTAAATTTATATGTGATTCCCATACAAATTTAAAAATCAATATTTTGAAGCTCTAGATCTCAATACAGAAAAATCCTAAAAACCTAAAAATTTCAGATTAGATTCAAAACAATCTGAATTATATATATATAAATTTTCAATAAATTCTATTTATAAATAAAAAAGTTAAAAATTACATTTTTGATATAAAAAGTGGCCCAAAAGGGGATGGCCCGAAAGTAGGGTACCCGACTTATTTGTCGCTTATGAGAAAAATGTTGGATATATCTCAACTAGACGCGTATCTTTCACTTCGTTGGATCCTGTCAGATACCAGTTTTTCTATCTTTATTCCAAGCGGCTCCCCGCCCACCTGGGCGCTTGATAGCTTGGGTCCACAGAAATAACATACTGCACATATAAGTTAGTCCATAAGACCCGCAATCGGACTATTAATAACCCTCCCCTCATCATCCACCAAAATCTATCTAGCTCGTCTTCAGAATCTTAGCATGCAATGCTTTCAAAGCTATCAATCAATTATTCAAGCCTCTCATGCAACATTCTATTGCATTTCAGAACCCATTTTGGAAGACAGATACAACAATTATGAGACTAAACTCAAGAGAGTGGTGATAAGGCAAGTGCCAAAGTATGTTTGCACCTTGTTGTTGTCACCGTGAGCAAGTCAGCCAAATAAACATGGTCCACTACTCAAACAGACTAGCATTTTCTTTGCTCGGCATAAAGAACTAGATTCATATGCTCGAGCGGGGTACATTGATCTATTGACCGATGATTTTACTCTGCTTTCACCAGATCTTGGCTAGATATTGATATCTCTGCTTCAATCTAAAGTCAGATCTCCGACCTCCTATTGGAAAACGGCAATTTTAACACCAATGCACATTCAAATAGGAAGTTCACACTATTTGAAAGAGATCTTCTGGTTAAGGTGATCTATTTGAACATCAAAAGCAGATCAGATGATTCTCTCCATTGGAGTTCTATTTTGGATTGACAATCTATGCTATTTTCTGAAAATAGCTCTTCTCAATATATTACCCTAGTTCGAAAAGTTCGAGATTCTATCACATATGGCTTCTCTGAGATTAAGTATAACTCTTCTGCTTATCATTCTACACTGAGAAATGCACCTGTCTCTATTGAACAACCACCTGACGCCTTATTCCACCTTGTTAGTGGAAT